GTTGAAAACGGCAAAATTCCTGCTCCAAAGCTGCACCAAAACAGCCATTTTTGATGCTCCCAGCTCTCCTTCAAAACAAAGTCAGCTTGCACCCCAAAATGAGCAGTCTGAAGTGGGAGCTTAATCTCAGTCAATGAATATTTTTAATACAGTAAAGCTCATTAATACACATCTCATGGGTTTGGAAATATTCGAATTAGCTTTCAATAACAAGTTATTGAAAGTACGATGAAAGTATCATGTGTATTAGGTCTATACACTTTCATTTTTTTTGCGAACACGTAAATCCTGTACCTGTTTTGCGTAAAAGGGGTATAAGAACTGTAATTTTTGGCACTTGCGGCTTTGTTTACTTTGTGTCTGTGACTCAAGATCTCCCTAACTAATTCAAGACTTGGTTATCTGAAATTCATTGCCATTGTTACCATAAAGTACAGTTTGTGCTGATGACGATGACAGTGCAGACTGTGTCTACTTAGTTCGTTTGTCTCACGAATGCAGTTTTGGCACCTTTGCTAGTACATTTGCGGTGCTTTGCACTCTGCACACTCTGAGAATTGCCCAAATTAACCAATGAGAGTTTGATGTCATTGAACGATGCATATAAATAGGGATGAGAGAACACGCCCGAGTGATACAATTTTCTGAACAGGTGTCAAATTAAAGGAACACAAAAGAGCAATACACTTTTTTATGTATTAGTAAAGTGCAATTTTGCAATTCGGAAAACACCACCTTACTGCGACACGACATTATAAATAAACTGAGGCGAACACGCGGAAAAAAAAAAAAAAACTGAGGCAGAGACACCACTTTAAGATTCCCGTACCAAACACTGTAACGCCATAAATTTTAAAGGTGTATACTGGGTCCTACGTAGCTTCTAATCTATAAAATTGAAATACACTCTAATCTATAGGTGCCATAGACTTGCCATATTGTCACGGGGTCGTGACTTCGACGAAGGCAGGGAGGACGTGTCCAAAATGAAATGGTTTATTTGGCTCAACTTGTGGCTGGTAAATGGAAAGTCCAATTACATCAATACACACTGGCACTAGTAGTGGCAAACAGAGTGTTGGCTGTCAATCAACTGACAAGTGGTGAAGTGCGACAGTATTTATACATGTGCCGTCGAATAATCCATTGTTATCGCTAGTGGCCACGTAAGCTCCAGAATAATCTTAATGTTTCCGTTGCGCACATAATCTCCTTTAGTCCCGAAGCTTCTCGAACCCTGCAGGTAGGGTTTCCGCTGAACATTACTTACAGTGTAATGGTGCGATAACAAAACTTGAGGAAAGATTGTGGCAATATTAAGTTTCAGAAAATTTCATTGAGCCAATGTGGGGAAAATACAAAAAATACATTGTGGAGTTTCTTATGTCACACGATACGAAATTTTAAAATGAAACTTCAACCTTGATATTGTCCACTAATAATGAACTTATGACAGCGAAACTTTGGATATTAGAGTTGTCAGAGTGCAGTTTATCATTCTATAACTACTCATTGTTTCTCTTTAGTGTCCCTTGAACTAGCTTTCTTTGTATAAGTACTCTAAGATTGCAATTTGCCATAGATGTAAAATCTATATCTAAAATAGCAGTTGTCAGTCGGACTTTTAAGATCTTCACCTACTAAAACAGGACACCGCATTTCAAAATGAATGTGGCTGCATGCCTGAACCGTAATCAAAGCCACATAGTAAACAGTGGACATCACAAAGCAGGGTATTGTGGCTGTTCATTTTCCACAATTTTCTTTTACATCACAAATGCTCAATACATGGAATGGGCATATTTTTACTGTGCCATGTTGCTTTGAGGTGACTACATACAAGCTTATGACAAGAGAAAATAAAACATCGTGTGAATACTTCAAGGGCTGTTTGAAACTATTTTTGCTATGTGGCTTTAGACTTCATCAGCACTGAGGAGATGTGTTGAGCAACATTTAAATTTTTCCGCAAATGTTTGCCGTAGTATGCGTCATATGTTCAGTATGAGGCTGGACATTGTAGCAAGTATTTTCACATCAAGCTGATTGCATAAAGCCTTTTCACTGGTGGCAATTATATCAGTTATATCAGCTTGTGACAGCCCCCATGAGGGCGTGCAGTACTAGTGCAAACGTAATAGACCTGTTTTTTTGCAGTGATCAAACGCTTGCTTCCTCTGTTGTTACAGTACCAGGTATTAGTGATCACGAAGTTGTCTGTGTTGAAATGTGCTTAGCTGTAGCTCAACAACGAGCTTCGGGGCCCAGAAAGGTGTTTTTATATGAAAAAGGAGACTACGCTTCTATTTCAACAAAACTAGACGCTTATTTACCCGAGTTTCAAGAACTATGATCGGGTTCTGACATGAATGGCTTGTGGAATGAGCTAAAAACAAAACTGTTATCTCTAACTCAAACTTTTGTACCACCGCGAGTCATATCAGCCAAACAACGAAATGATAAACCATGGCTAAATAAGGAACTCCGAGTGCTCATAAACAAAAGAGATCATCTCTATCACAAATGTTGTCACACGTCAGACCTTGAAACTACAGATGAAAAGTCAGATGAAACTACTTGGTAAGAAGATAACCAAAGATCTGAGGAAAGCAGAGAGAGCATACTTGAGTGATCTGAGTATTAAGGTGAAAACTAACCCAAAACTCGTCTGGAAATATGTTAAAAGAAAGACAAAGGTTCCTGGTGGTATTCCTGATATAAACGATGGTACTAAATACTTGTCGGACAGTACAAGTAAAGCTGTATGCTTTAACCGGTACTTTCAGTCTGTGTTTTCGGTTTCGTCAGCGGTTCAAACTACAATGTGCAACACAGTAACGTTATCGGAAATGGCGGAGTTAGAAGTTTCAGAACAAGGTGTTGCATCTCTTTTAAAAAACCTTTGTGCGAACTCAGCATCAGGGCCAGATCAAATCTCAAACTTCATTTTAAAGAACTGTGCCCTTTCAATAAGCCCATTTCTTATAGCTGTGTTCAGAAATTCTTTATCGCAGGGTGCATTACCTGATGACTGGAAACGAGCAAATGTAATTCCTATTTTCAAGAGTGGTGACAAGTCAAGTACTTGCGACTATCGGCCCATTTCGTTAATGTGTGTGTCCTGTAAGACACTTGAGCATATTATATTCTCGAACTTGGCAAAGCATCTTCAGACTAACAATTTTTTCTGTCCAACACAGCACGGTTTCCGGAAAGGGTTTTCCTGCGATACGCAACTTGTAGAATTTACATATGACATCGCCACAGCATTAAATTCCGGTAGCCAAATTGATTGCATTTTTTTAGACTTTAGCAAGGCTTTTGACACTGTTACACACTCGCTCCTTTTACTGAAATTATCGTGTCTCAATATATCTGCTAACACACTGGCATGGCTACAAGCTTATCTCTCATGCAGGAAACAATGCACCATCATAGATGGCACATCGTCACATGTAGATGTCATTTCAAGAGTGCCACAAGGCTCTGTCCTGGGGCCGCTTCTCTTTTTGATGTATATCAATGATCTTGCTGAATGCGCGGACAGTCAAGTGAGGTTGTACGCAGATGACTGCTGCACATATCGTGAAATTAAGTGCACTCAAGATTCCGAACAACTGCAGAAAGACCTTGACTCAGTAATAACATGATGCAGTACGTGGAAAATGCAGCTTAACGTGTCAAAGTGCTGTGTCGTTAGGTTTACCAAGAAAAAACAGCCTTTTATCACAAATTACTTTATGGAAAGGATACCATTATTCGTAGTAAATGAGTACAAGTATCTTGGCGTTATCATCAACAGCACACTATCGTGGAATGATCATGTTCGCATGGTATCAGTTAAAGCCAGTCGCGTGCTGAACTTCCTACGCCGCAATTTCAGATCCGGCCCCTGTGTTCTTAAACAAGTTCTTTACGTGTCAAATGTACGCCCGATTTTAGAATATGCTTGCGCTGCCTGGGACCCGGCCACAAAGTTAAATATTGATGCATTGGAGCGCATTCAAAAACGTGCCGCCCGGTTTGTGACGGGTGATTACGGCTTCACCAGAAGGTCTAGCGAAATTGTTAGTTCACTTGGTTGGCCGTTACTCTCCTCAAGGCGTAAATATATCAGGCTATGTCTTTTCTACAACCTAATAAACGACAAAACTGGGATCGATAAAAACAAATACATCAGACCACCAACATACATCTCATCACGATGGGACCATCCTTTGAAAGTGTGTGAATATATGTGCCGAACATGAACGTATGCAAATACTTTTTTTTCTAAAGCTATTCACGAATGGAACAGTCTTCCAAAAAACATTGTGACTGTCCCTTGCACAGCGTTTCCTTCCCTTTTAAAGGAGTATATGGTCACACAATGATATTGTATGCTGTGATTTGGGTATTTTTGATTTGTTTTTATTTTTTGAGTGCCGTTCAATTCAACTTGTCCCCACTGATTTAAATGTACTTTGAATTTGTAAACCCCCTACAACAATGCCCCCAGAGGGTGCTGTAGGTATAAGTATATATAAATAAAAGTATAAATAAATAAATTGCCCGCAATTTAGGCAAGAGCAAAGCTGATGCAGTCTAAAAACTGTGTTGCTTGTGAGCCTCTGCTGCATTTCAAGATAAATAATTTGAAATGCTGGGTATCATACTTTCAAACTTTAAAAGCCATTAATTCTTGTTTGTATAAATTTTATGTTGGTAGATACTTAGCCAGTTGAAAAAATGAGGTGCATAAAAGAAACTGTGTTAACAAGTAGTCGGTACCAGTGAAATGGTGCTGTTCATGTTATTCAGTATATTTTGACCGCAGTGCATTCTGTGTAAAATGGTCACTGACATCATGCCAGCCTCGTGTTGGCCAGGTTCAGGCATATTGCTTCTTATGTTGCCTGTGTTCTGTGGTGTGAAGCTTGTGGGTGGTTCACTAGGGCATGCATATGATAGCGCAGGTGACAGACTAGACTGTATTTGAGATATGTTTTTTTTTCTTGCAGCCGCATTTGGGACACAGCGTCAGGCCAGTGCTTGAAGACGCTGATAGGTGAGTGCTTCGAGTGTTTATAAGGCAGCATGCAGTATGTGCAATTACCATAAAATGCTGAGGAAGTGCCCCCATCCCACCCCAAGTTGAAGGATAATCTGACCAGATTTGGGAGGCACAGTGCTTGCTCGATCCCGGAACGGTCGTTGGCACCTATTTGGTGCGCGTTTCAGATCTCCCCAAAAAGGCAGGGGAGCGGTTGCTTGGCATTTTACGGTACTTATATATTATAGTAAACTCCTGTTAAGACACTCTGTTCAGATCTATTCTTGCTTAAACCGATAAACACGGGAATGTTTGTGTAGTTTTTCATAGAGTCAATGCAAAAAAAAGTGTGTTTTTTTTTTTTTTTTCAAAGACAAACCGTGTAACAGCCTGTTCTGGTAAGACGAACCCTTGTAGCAACCGGCAACGATGGTGATTCTGCGCAACAAACATTGTAGTCTTGGTGGGGCATTCAAGCAAATTAAAGCAAAAAACGAAAAAGAGCCTTCCTGGCGCAAAGACGCTATGCCAATCAACGTGGAGGGAGGAAGCAAGATAAGTGGAAAAGAAAGGTCAGGGCATAAAGCTGGTATCTCTCTCACCCCGAGCCTGTACGTGAAGAAAGGGCCGACTATATCAGCAAAGAAAACGACAAAAAACGTCGACGAGCCCCGCCGCGGTGGTCTAGTGGCTAAGGTACTCGGCTGCTGACCCAAAGGTAGCGGGATCGAATCCCGGCTGTGGCGGCTGCATTTCCGATGGAGGCGGAAATGTTGTAGACCCGTGTGCTCAGATTTGGGTGCACGTTAAAGAACCCCAGATGGTCGAAATTTTCAGAGCCCTCCACTACGGCGTCTCTCATGATCATATGGTAGTTTTGAAACGTTAAACCCCACATATCCATCATCATCAAATCAATCAAAAAACATCGAAGAGTTTCTCATAGACTCGATGCGAGGCGAACTGCCCAACAGGCCTAACTACAGAGACCCTTAAGCCATCACATTCTTTCGTACTCTCCCTACATTCTTCAGTTCCCCAACTGGTTTACAATGTAGAACAGAAGAACAGTCGAGCTTGGCTAGAGGTGAAAATGCAAGGGAAGGTGCGGTGCTAAAAAAACGCCAGGCCTGCGTGGAAGGCGTCGCACAGTCATAGCGATAGCTGGAAGAGCGACCTTTCAAAGCCTTTTCAAAACACTCATTGGATAACTACTGCAAACACACTTGCTTGATTCCCACTTGGGCATTAATAATAAGCTTTTGGGTAGTAGCCCGGCATTCACTATGCTATTTTTCGTCATTCTTTTGAGAAGCGTGGTATCGGCTAAACACTTGCAAGAAATTTTGTGCCGATTGTTCATGCAGTGGCTGATGACGATCAGGAATTATGGCAGTAGGTATGCGCCACAGTTAATAGGGGAACAAAAACAAGCTTATGTAGTAGGCTGGAACATCGGACAGCCCACTCATTACACTATTTGCATTGTCCAGTGGCTGGTTGTTCTTTCGCTGTTTTAAAATGCCTTATAAGTCGTATTCAAGCCTGCCTAGGGCAAGTTTGCTTGCCATCAAGCCTGCCTAAGGCAAGTTTGCCAACAAGTCACAAGCACCAGTATAGCTCAGTGGTAGAATACTGGGTTGGCACCCAGTGGACCCGGGTTAAAGCCCCACTGTGTCTTTGGTGCTAGTTTTTTTTCTAATTTCGTGCGATGTGGTTACGGACACCGGCGGCGGACAACTACGCATGATTCGAGTTGTGATCTCATAACCGCTTTTGCTTTAAAAAGCCAAATGAAAGTGATAGCAAAATAAAAAATTGTCTGTGCGTTACAATCGCATATGAAACCAAAATCACATTTGCGGTGCTAGTACTCCCATCAGGGCGGTCAAACGCATTGTCATCACCATCCCGCAATCATGCACTCGAGCACATATGGCCACTTCACGTTGTCTCTTCATGGGGCCTGTGCATACCGTGTCTGTTCCCAGTGCAGTGTAAATTGCGATGTGTACTTTTCATTATGAAAGTGCACGACAAATGAAGGTCATTTCGCCACTAAATATTGCTGTCTTGTGTCTTTTTTCGTTTAAGCAAGGCTTGTGATTGTGAGTAGCAAACGGAGATCTTCAGCTGCGTGTTGTTGAGGAAAAATTACTGCGGGTTGAAAATAACAAAATATTAGAACCTCAAAGAAAAGCTTGCAGACTTTAATAAGCTACTCTGCATATTGAGGCTTTGTCAGGGTAACCGCATGCAATGTAGGCATATCTAAAAGTGATATCAAAGCCAGTAAAACAGGCTCTCAGAATTTTAACAGGAAGAATAATAAATTTTTGATGCTTTGAAGGAAAGTTTCGCTTGTCTCTTTCTTTATTCCTTTTTTAATTGTCACATTAGGTCGTGCTACAGTTCTATGGGTAAAATATGGTAGCAATCTATTTATGAGGATGTCTATTATGAACTTGTGAAATCGAGTGCTCGTTAGATTCATGTAAATACTTTACCGTATAAACCGGACTATAGGTCGAGTGGGAATATAGGTCGACACCCCAAGTTCAGGTTACCGAAAAAAAAAAAGGAAAACAACCCAAAACTGCCGAACCACATTTATTTGCGAATTGGGCGCACCGCACACCGATCGTCGGAGCTCCCCTCAACCACCTTTGCAACTGCTCCTATTCGTCCGACGAAGCACCACTGTCTTCTGAAGACGAGAGTTTGTCACTGGCCGCCTCCCACAAAGCGTCGTCTTCAGTGCTATCCAGCGAGTTGCTGATGCAACATTTCTTGAAAGCATTTTCCTCCATGAAATCCGGCAAGGAGCGCCAGGCGAAAAGCACCCAGACACAAACAGTCGCAAGCGGAGGCCTCTGTAGGCGGCCCGTTGGTGTCTTGGGGTTGTCGCCGGACATCCATTCTTGGTATTCCAGCCGCACTCGGTCCTTGAACGGCTTGTTTAGCACAACGTCGAGTGGCTGGAGGGTGAACGTCATACCACCTGGTATCACGGCGAGGTCCGTTTTCCCGTTGCCGAGTGCGCGTTTCACTGTGTCGGTTAAGTGGCCACGAAACGCATTCAACACCAGTATGCTGTGAAGACGCAGCAGTGCACCTGGCCGACGGTTCCACACCACTCGTATCCATTCGAGCATCATGGCCTCGTCCATGTATCCCTTTTTGTTGACGTGAACGACAACACCGGGCGGGAACACTTTCTTCGGCATTGTTTTGCATTTGAAAATGGCGAAGGGCGGAAGCTTTCTACCATCTGCCGTGTATGCCAGCATGACGGTGAAGCGCGAGTGCTCGTTGCCACTAAACAACAGCTTCACATCCTTGGCGCCGCGCTGCGTGATCGTGGTCGACGAAGGCATGTCAAACCACACGGGGGTCTCATCGGCGTTGCCAATCTGCCCCATCATGTAGTCATTCTGCTCCCAAAGCCGGTTCACGAAGCACTGAAAGTTTATGAGCTTGTCCTCGAACTCCTCCGGCAACTTTTGACAGATGGATGTGCGTCACCGGCGAGAAAATCTTTTGCATCACATAAATCTACGCACCCAAGAGTTCGGTGCACGAAACTCTTCTCTCATGAGCCCAGCTTCTCGAGCGAGTTCCACGGCTTTCTTGCGAATGGTATCCACGGTCACTGGCAGTGAGCGCGCACGAACTTCCCGCACGAAGTCCACTAGCTTATCCTCCAGCTGCGGACGAACGGCACTTCGTCCACGAAACGACATTTTTTGAGAATTGCACATCTGCAGCTTCCCTTTCTGCGCCCTCCAATAGCGCACGCTTTTTTCCGATACACCAAAGCGGCACTGAGCAGTCATATTCCCATTTGCTTCTGCGAACTCAACAACATCTAGTTTAAACGCAGCTGAGTACTGCCTCCTCACACCACTAGACATATTCAGTGAACGAAAAAAAAAAAAAAAGGCCACTAAAAATGCAGCGCAATGTCAAGCGGAGAGAAAACTCAGAACAGATCGGAAGCAAATCACAAACACAAAGAAAACAGACGGATTGAAAAAAAAAAAAAAAAACAGACTCCGATTGGATTAAGATGCAATATTGCCGCGTCCGGCTTCACAAACTCATGCAAGCCACATGCTGCCAGACAGCGTCGCACTTTTGGCTAGACACCGCTGTATAAGACGAGGGGCGACTTTAGCTTATTATTTCATTGAAAATATCTTGACTTATATTCCAGTTATACGGTACTTGAAGGGATAGTTTTTACCAAGCTGAGCCAGACAAATGGTTTCTCTGCTTCCTTTCCTCCCCGCCGTAAGTGTACTCTATTCAATGTTTTCAAACAACGTATTTAGACGCACTTGTCATATTAAGCATTCTTTTTTCGGGGCCCTTCTGATCAGCTGAACTCTTAATTGGACACACAAATGACCGTGCTCCCCCCAAGTTTGTCTTAAAAGGAGTCTACTGCATCGGTCAATCTCGAACAAGTGGTTCCTTAGCCTAGCTGCTTCCAGTTGTGAATCAGCAGGCAACTTGAAAATTTGTAGGATTACTCTTATATTAAAGAGGTATGACACAAAAATTTTCAGTTGTGGTTTTTTTTTTTTTTCGTCAAATGAAAGGCCAAGTCCCGAAGAGCCTAGAATATGTAGGACTAAGCGTGAGTGCACCATGTGGGAATTGAGGCTAGCCTGCTGCCTTTGCGCGGGCTTTGCCGCCTTTTTCTGCCATTCTCATGTCTCGACATGTCTCCCCTCCTTTGCTGTCTGCCGCGCTGTGAGAGCGGAGTGACGTTTAACCTTCTTAGCCGGTAGCGGATGTTGACTGTGGCGCCGCACGCGGAGTCTCCCGAGAGGTTTTCGCGCGCTGCGTCGGGAGCGGGCAGATAGATACTCTCCGGGACTGCAGACGGTGAGCCACGCAATCTTTTCCGTCCGTTGACTCCCGTCGCTCGGGGGCTCGTCGGACTTCGCTGATGGCGCCTCGCGCCCGAGGCGAACGCTCACCTTTTGTTGCCCCACTGCGTACGCTCG